TTTTTTTTTTTTTTTGGTACCAGGGATCTTAACTCAGTCATTGCACTTGTGAGGCCCTGTCAGTCATTATGCTTGCTCTTCCTTCTCCAGGTAGAATCCATGCCAAAAGGGCTTCTGGGGGGAAGCTCATCTTCTATGACCTTCGAGGAGAAGGAGTCAAGTTGCAAGTCATGGCCAATTCCAGGTACGCAGGAATATCCCATTCCAGGTCTTCTCTGCTGGCATAGACAGCACAGCTGCAGACACAGGCTGATGTCCTCTTGGTTTACCATTATTGAAGTTAGTTGAAGTTAGAGTAATAAAGAGGCAGACGTGGTTGGGGAAAGTTGAAAAAATTAAAAAGACATCTGATCACATGGAAAGTAATGACTGCCCTCACATTGTATGCCAGTAAAAATATAAGATAATCCTTTTTATCAAGTGCCTCTGAATCATTGACTCTTCTTGGCCTCGTATTGCCTAGATAGTAACTGTTTGAGTGAAGATTCCAGACTAAACTAATGTTCAATATTAATTGTGCTGTTTACTGAATTGCATTCCCTTTCACTCAGGAATTATAAATCAGAGGAAGAATTTATTCGTATCAACAACAAACTGCGTCGGGGAGACATAATCGGAGTTCAGGGGAATCCTGGGAAAACCAAGAAGGGTGAACTGAGCATCATCCCCTACGAGATCACGCTGTTGTCTCCCTGCCTGCATATGTTACCTCATCTGCACTTCGGCCTCAAAGACAAGGTGAGCTCTCATTCTTCGATCTGTGGCACAAAGGTGCATTATTGTACCGTTGCATCAAAACAGTCATTTCTAACTGCTGCTGTTGGTTTAGGAAACACGGTATCGACAGAGATACTTGGACCTGATCCTCAATGACTTTGTGAGAGAGAAATTTATCATCCGCTCTAAGATCATCACATATATAAGAAGTTTCTTGGATGAGCTGGGATTCCTCGAGGTGATGGGAGTGGAGGGTTCCTTCCTAACATGGTGCCCTGCCTTCCTGTGCTTGCCTCTTACTGTCCCTTCTCTTCCCTTTCCGAGGCACATCATGCCAGCATCCTTCAGACCTAGCAAGAATCTCTCCTTTGTTTTTTTGTTTTTTGGTACTGGGGATTGAACTCAGGTCCTTGCGCTTGCAAGGCAGGCCACCGAACCGCTGAGCTAAATCCCTGGCCGAAGAATCTCCCCTTTGTTGCCAGTGTCTGTTTAGTGCTCTGATTATGAAGACAGGGCGTGACTTTCAAAATGATAAGCAAGGCGTAAGGCCATCCACATGCCCGTGATACCATATTCAGTGCATTATCAAATGATTTTGGGTTTTGTAGCATTAAAAAACTACTCTTTTTGGGCCAGATATTTAGGTCGGTGGTGCCACTGCCTGCCTCAGAAGCACAAGGTCTCAAGTTCGATCCCTAGTTTAAAAAAAAAAAATTATATATATATATTTTTTAAATTTGTGTGTGTGTGTGTGTGTGTGTGTGTGTGTGTGTGTATTTTCATTGCATGAGAAAGCCAAATGCCTGTACTATAAAACAGATTCAAATAGCTAAGTGTGGTGGCACATGCCTGTAGTCCAGCACTCTGGAAGCTGAAGCAGGAGGAATACTATGAGTTCAAGGCCAGCCTGAACTGTATAGTGAGACCTGTGTCAAAAAAAATTTTTTCAAATATTAAATAGAAGCAAAAGTGAAAGAAGCCTTTTGCTTCTTTCAACTAATTTGAATTTGACGTATATCCCTTGTCACCATTTATTCTCCATATATATGTACATACAGGTGGTACAGATGGAGCACATCTGTGTAAAGGTTTTAGAAGGATTTGGTTTTGTTTTAGTTGACACAAGGTATCACTGTATAGTTCAGGCTGGCCTCAAACTCACGAAGGTCCTCCTGCCTCAGCCTTCTGAGTACTGGGATTACAGGCATACAGCACCACGCCTGGCTCAGAGGGTTTTCTTGTTTTTTGTTTTTTTAAGTTTTTGCTTTAAATATAAATGAAATCATATGATCGACGTGCCTTTTTTCCCATGTCTGTATTCTGAAGCCCTTGATGCATACATGTAAACATACACATAATTATTATTATTATTATTTTTTTTTTTAGTAGCAGGCATCAAACTCAGGACTTTGCACTTGTGAGGCAGGTGGCGGTATCACTGAGCTAAATCCCTGGCCTCCTCGTATTCCTTCTTAGTAGCTGTGCAGTTTGTATCCCTGATTGATAGTTTAGATTACTTCTGATTTCTTTCTAAATAAGTATTTCAGTGAACACCTTTGTACATAGGTGCAAATGTTTCTGCAAGATGAATTCTAAATGTTTCTCCCTGTGTATTTTAGATTGAAACTCCCATGATGAACATCATCCCAGGGGGAGCTGTGGCCAAGCCTTTCATCACCTATCACAATGAGCTGGATATGAACTTGTACATGAGAATTGCTCCAGAACTCTACCATAAGGTATTCAGTAGTAAGACACTCATTTCCTTAGAGAAGCAGAAAGCTAGGAAATCTTTGACTACACAGGGGCCGTCAGAAATGAGAGGAGCATTAAGGATAAAATAGCAGGAGAGTATTCTGATTTCTCAGATTTGTAAGTGTAACACTAGAAATTCTCTATAAGATCTGTAGAGCATTTGCAGAGCAGAGGGCAAAAGGAAAAGCAATTGTCTTTTGTGAGTGTACAGATACTCCTAACCTACTTTAGTTTCCCTAAAGTTTTTAAGTTTATAATCTTCCTTGGGTAAAATCAGATTTTAGTTTCTCACAGAAGAAAGAGTAATCTCTTTCTGAAAGTTGAAAATAAATTTCTTCAGATCACCAGCTTAAATATCAAAGACACCAGGATTCTCAGTTATACGCAACAGAACCTGCTGTAACTAATTAAAGCAAAAGGAATGTGGTGGGAGGGTGCTGGGGTTTGAACTTGGGACCTTGCCCTTGTGAGGCAGGCGGTGGCACCACTCAGCTAAATTCCCACCCAGAGAGTGCACAACTAGGAATGGTATTGAATCATATCATTGGACTGATCTCATGAAGGACAGAGTATTTTTTCTACAAGGCACCCACTAGGATTTCTACAACTACTGTTTCAAAAGCTGTGATCCACGTTACCAGAATGAATTCTGCGCAGTCCCTGCATCTTCCTTTAGTTCCTTCCATGTTGACATCTCAGCAGTGTGTCTGATTAGTAGAGCTTGGTCACTAATACATGGGCCAACCTTACAAGAGGTTTCTTTGGAGAAGCTCACGCTGACTGAGCAAGTGATGCCCAAGACATAGGAATAATACTTAGATGATCTGGGAAGCCAAACAAGAATGAAACTCTACTACAAGGGACTAAAGAGAACAGGATACTAGGAATTTTGAATAGAGAGTATATGTGAGCTGTAAAAACCAGTTAGGAGATGGACAGTTTTCTGAGCTGTTAAGAGAAATTAGCTTCCTTGCCCCTCACCTTGCATTGTATTATTGCTAGATGCTGGTGGTTGGTGGCATCGACCGGGTTTATGAAATTGGACGCCAGTTCCGGAACGAAGGAATTGATTTGACTCACAATCCCGAGTTCACCACCTGTGAGTTCTACATGGCCTATGCAGACTATCAGGATCTTATGGAAATCACAGAGAAGCTGGTTTCGGGTGAGTGCTCCTCTCTTCGTCTTTCACATTAGTCTGAGAGGCTGGTGTGCTGCTTTCACAGGAAACTTTCCTGGGCTTCATCCTCTTGAAATGGCTGGTTTCCCTCGCAGGAATGGTGAAGAGCATTACAGGCAGTTACAAGGTCACCTACCACCCAGATGGTCCAGAGGGCCAAGCCTATGAGATTGACTTCACCCCACCCTTCCGGAGAATCAGCATGGTAGAAGAGCTGGAGAAAGCCCTGGGGGTGAAGCTGCCTGAAACCAACCTCTTCGAAACTGAAGGTGAAGTGATACACTCCTCCATCGAATCAATGGCCCTTGTCCTGTCAGCTTTGAATTTGATGAGGTCAGAGCTAGAATTTCCCACACTAGTCTCTTTATTTTATTTATTTATTTTGGTACCAGGGATCGAACTCAGGACCTTGCACTTGCGAGACAGGCAGCGGAACCACTGAGATAAATCCCCAGCCCATAGTCTCTTTATATGTATTGCTCTTAGTTTGTGGTGATGGGAATTGAGCCGGGGGCCTTTGTGCTGAGCTATATCTTCAGCCCTTTTTATTTTCTAATTTAAGGCAGGGTCTCGCTAAATTGCTCAGGCTGGGCTTGAATTTAGGATCCTCTTGCCTCGGCCTCTCAGAATACTGGGATGGCCTGCATGCACTTCTATGCTGTGCTTTTTCACATGTGTTTTACTGAGTTAGTGTTATGTCCCGGTTCCAACTTCTTAAACATTTGTGTTATAGAAACTCGAAAAATTCTTGATGATATCTGTGTAGCGAAAGCTGTTGAATGCCCTCCACCTCGAACCACTGCCAGACTCCTTGATAAGGTAAGACGCCGTGTCCTCATCTGATGCTTCTCGGTCCCCTCCTCCCTAGAAAGTGTACCCAGCTACAGCTTCACCTAAAGAGAGCTGAAAACCCTAAAGAGGAGGGAATAGAGACATCTTGAGCTGTCATCTAGACTCTGTGCCAAATAGGTGATGTGTATGTACTCAGTTGATCTTTTTCAGCTTTGTATGTGTGCTGCCGAAGCGAGCACATTTTTCAGCCTTTGAAAAGGTGTAAGTTAAAGCCAGCTGGGTGGAAATAAGGTCTCCCTGGGGCCGGGTCTATCAGAATGCTATTCAGGGGCCAGGGATTTAGCTCAGTGGTGCCACACAAGCACACAGTCCTGAGTTCGATCCCTAGTACCCCAAAAAAATACTATTCAGAAGCAATGTCTACTTCTGCATTGGTTTCTCATTAAGCTTGTCGGGGAGTTCCTGGAAGTGACATGCATCAATCCTACGTTCATCTGCGATCACCCACAGATTATGAGCCCGTTAGCTAAATGGTAAGATAAAGTGTGGTTTTATTTACATCTGCTTTTCATGATGATCTAGACTGACTAGATGATCTTCCTGCTCCAAAATGTGTTGGCTGCGATAATTCAAGTGACTTTTTTCAACTGGGAGTATTGTCAGGGGTACATTAGTTCTTCTCCACATGGCCTCTCGGTATGGGGTCTCATCCTCCAGGGAGCCTCCATGTGGCATCTCTTGACATCATAGCTGGTGCTTCTTTCAGCCTGGCAGTTGGGTTCCAAAGGGAAGTGTTCCCAAGAGCAGGCACCATGACAGGGAGGCAGAAGGGCATTGCAGGGGGAGTGGTGTGGTGCAGCAGACCACCACATTGCTTGTTAGGAGAATAAATCTTCCTGACCCTCTCAACTCACTTTTGCAACAAGTGCTTGGTGCTGAGAATGAATGCACGCCTCAGTTTGTAAGCAAACTGAGTCCATTAGATTTCAGGAACTCTTGTACAGGTGATAAATTATTAGGGGTTTATGTATTTAGCTTCCTCTTTGGTTTATTCTCCCCAGGCACCGCTCCAAAGAGGGTCTGACTGAGCGCTTTGAGCTCTTTGTCATGAAGAAGGAGATCTGCAATGCCTACACTGAGCTGAATGATCCCATGCGGCAACGGCAGCTGTTTGAAGAACAGGCCAAAGTAAGGAAGAGGCGTGAACAAAAGCACATTTCACCAGAGAGCCCACTTATCAGGAAATACCAGCCTTAACCCAGGCTCTATCCGTGTGCATTCTTGGTAACTTAACAAAAATGAAGGCTAAAGCTGTAGGCTTGCTGGAGGAAGTCACATTTCAAAAATGAGGACTTTGGTTTTCACTCTGAAGTATTTAAGGAGCATGGTTAAGATTATTTGCAGGGGAAACATCGCTTATTTTAAAAATGATTTGCCTACGAGAACATTATTTTTCTTTTTTCTTTTCTTTTCTTTTTTCTTTTTTTCTTAAATTATACATTTATCATCCACAAGTCTGTGGAAGAAATGGCTCAGTGGTAGAGTTCTGAATAAACCAATTCCTAGAAGTCTTGAGATGTCAGGAACATCCCTGAAATAAGGGTATTCCCTTTGAATGTTGTAGTACATTCACTTGGGCCCAGAGATGTCTCAGAAGAACATAACCTTTTTATTCTCTTTATTGTAGGCCAAGGCTGCTGGTGACGATGAAGCCATGTTCATAGACGAAAACTTCTGCACTGCCCTGGAGTATGGGCTGCCTCCCACGGCTGGCTGGGGCATGGGCATTGACCGCATCACCATGTTTCTCACGGACTCCAATAACATCAAGGTACATGGAAGCCCTCCACAGTAGCTTCTGTCTCAAAGCTTCACTGTGTTGGATGTGGGGCCTGGTTGGCCTAGAGAATAAAGGAAGTACTTTGAGCTAGAGGAGCTCATGTCACACTCAGAGCTCATGACCATACCGAGTTTTAATCTTTTTCTACCTGAGACAGGAAGAATGCTATTTGCATTTCTTGAGGATTCTGGGAAGTGCCACGCCCTCTGGCTACATTAGTTCTTTTAACTTTAGTCAGCCTATGAGATGTAGAACTTGCTGGTACCCTGTTGGTATCGATGAAGAAATCTAATTTCAGTAGAGCCTATGTTAATCTTTGACATGGTGCCCCTAGGAAGTGCTGTACATTGGCTTTCTTTTATCGTCTGTTACTACAAGAGACCAAGTTGAAATAAAAGAAGAACACACCTATCTTTTCATCTGGATTATATAGACAAATCTCTGGATTTGGGTAGGAACAGTTCCAGGCCAAAAGAATAGGTAAATAACTGTAAAAACTGTTCAGAGGGCTTAGCTTCAAAATGCTTTTTTTCTGTCCTGTAGGAAGTACTCCTGTTTCCTGCCATGAAGCCAGAAGACAAGAGAGAGACTGTAGCAAACACTGACACAATGGAAAGCACAGTGGTTGGCACTTCTGTCTAGAAAGTAATTCCATCTTGTACACCTCAGGCATCTACATTTCTGCCAAAAGGTCAGGTCTTGAAGGAATTCTTGTGTGCTGTCATTCATTTGACCCCCACAGATCAATTTAGCTACCAGAAGAGAGAAGAATTAAGAATTCTTTTTTACTTCTTGCTACCAAATAAACTATTTGTCTCTTTACCTTAGAGATGTCAACTTTTTTCCCATATTGCTAGCCTTAGGAATATTTAGACTTTTATCATTTTATTCCTTCAATAAATTGATATTAATGTCTGCTCAGTGCCAAGCATTGTTCTAAGGAATCAGACACAGCAGTGGACAAAAGCAAAATCACTACCTTTACAGAATTTACATTTCTTTGGGGTGAGGAGGGAAACAAATAAATAATAAATACGTATTCTTCGTGGAGATGGTACACACTAAGAAGAAAAATAGAGTAAGGGTAAGGAAAAAAGGTGCTACTCTAGCAGCGGAGAGGGCAATGCCATTTTAAATACAGCTGTGGAGAAGACATCTCTGCTACATGACATTTAATTAGGGATCTAGAGACTGAGGCCAGGCCATGTATGGGAAAGGGCTGTGACTAAAGGACCACATTTTTGAGCAGCAGAGGATCTGCTCAAGGAGTGGTGAGGGTCGGTGGGACCAGATCACACAAGCTCCTGGGAGTCACCCGAGATTTGTTACAAATCACGTGGGAAGCTCTTGGAGAGTTGGAGTGTTAGAGAGCTTTTAAAGGATGGTTCTCATCACTAAGTGAGGGGTAAGCTTGATGAGGGAGACCAGGTGGGTAGTAAGGAGATGGTGACTTGGACTTGGGCGGTAGCAATGGAGATGGTTACAAGTGGTTATATTTTACCCGAGTTCTGAGGGCAACAGGATTTTCCTATGGCATATGACCTAAGAAGTAAAAAATGATTCGAGGTTTTTGGGAGAAAAAAAAATGGTAGCGTTGTCATTCACTGAGGAGAAAAGCTGAGGAAGTACTTGTCTGAGGGGAAGGCTGAGTTTGACTTGGGGCACACAGTGTGGTTTGTTGCACCTGTTAGACATCTAGATAGGTGTCAGCAGGATGTTCATTGTGAGCCTGACGTTGTCTCATTTTATTTTGGGGCACCAGGGATCGAACTCAGGACTTCAGGACCTTGCACTTGTGAAACAGGAGAGGCGCCACTAAGCTAAATCCCCGGCCTTCTCATTTTTAGCTCAGCAGGGCAAAGAATGCAACGTGTGGCTCAGAGTTTGTGGGTACAATGGAGCCCATTTTCCCTGGCACAGGGAAGCAACTGGGGAATGAATACTGAGTCATTCAACAAAGGACTTGTCACTTGTACCTCAGCAAAACTTCTGCAAATCCCAGGTTGGAAGTTGCCAGTCTCCTTTCATAGAGCAGGTTTGTATTTCTGTAGCTGGTAGGGTTGGGCTAAGCATGCAGAATTACCTAACCGGGAACTGCTTCAGAGGGTGTGAGAATGGTCACCTCTGCTGGTGTTTAAGCAGTAGATGACCAGGTGGTCTTTCAGAAGAAGCTACCAATGTGGCACATCCTCAGCAAAATGGAGACGATCATCTGTTCAAGGCAGAGTGAGTCCAGTCTACCCTAAAAAGACACTGGACTTCAGGCAACAATGCCTGTGAGGACCACTGGAGAAGGCTACCAGGACTGGCAACATCCTAAGCGACCTCAGGATTTGTTCAGTAAAAAGCTGCAGGCAGAAGCCAACTCAACCTGGCCCTCAAGAGGCTGGGAAACAGGCAGCAAGAGACAACTTGTGTGTGGGATTTGGAAGGAAACCCGATAGGATGGAAGGGATGGAAAGGGTGGAATGATCATAAAGTCTTTGTTATTTCGTGAAACAGTGGAATACTCAAATCATCAACTTCTCTATTGGGTTGGTCTTTAAGATTCTGGACTTGTAAGGCAAATAAAGCATTAATAAACCACCCTCAAAAATCGTACAAAGTGCCGGGTGTGGTGGTGCATGCCTGTAATCCCAGCACTCGGGAGGCTGAGGCAGGAGGATCGCTGTGAGTTCGAGACCAGCGTGGGCTACATAGTTCCAGTTCAGTCTCAACTACGTAGACCCTGCCTCAAAAAACAAAAATTGTACAAAGTGGCAGCTCCAGTAAATGTTTTGAAGAAGTCCATGGGGGAAACAAGTGCAGTGGTGGCCCTGCGATATGGAGGAGCGTGGAAAAAGCCAGTGTGTTAGAGGAGCCCTAAAAAAGACGGCATCCATTGAGGCCGGAAAAGATCCCCATGTAGGGCTGTGAGCCTTACTGTGCTTTTTTTTCTGTGTATTAAACAGTGTTGGAAAATATAAACTATTCAAGCAGGTAGAGAGGGTGCCATCACATTTGGGGTTGGAAAGATCAATCTAGCTACTCTGAGAAATGAATTGGAGGTAGGGAAAAGGGGGAAGTTCAGGGATTAACGTGGCAATCCAAAAGATGTTAGTGGCTCCGACTAGCGTGTGGAAGTGAAGTCGTTAGGAAATGGCAAAGTTGAGCCATCATAGCAATCTCTGAGATAAAGAATACTGCAAGATGATCCCCACCGCTACATGGGTGTTTCTGTAATGATCCAGTGGGGAGACTGCTGCTGATTTAAAGTGGAGAGAGGAATAAAGAGCAGTGGCCTTAGCCTGGGAAGAGGTCAGTGGCCCTTCTCCTCTGAGCTAGAGAGAAGGGTCAAGCAAGGTGCAATTCTGCCCCCCTTTTAACTTTTGAGGGCTAACAAAAATGAGTTCCCTCACCTTTACCAACTGAAGTATATAACTTCTGGATGGCAAGGGCTTCTGCACTACCCAGACAGCGTATTGTCTGGCATACTGAAGGTTTAGACCTGCACTGTCCACAACAGTAGCCACTAGCCACGCGTGTCTGGCTATTGACAATTTGAAATGTGGCTAGTCCAAACTGAGATGTAAATATAAAATACGCAAATTTATTTAAACAGTATGAAAAGCTAATGTGGGATTAAAATTAATTTCATTTCGACTTTTTAAATGTGGCTACTAGAATGGGCTGGGGATTTAGCTTAGTGGTTCTGGCGCCTGTCTCGCAAGCGCAAGGACCGGAGTTGGATCCCCGGTACCAAAAAATAATGTGGCTACCAGAAAAAATTAAATTACATATATGGTTTGAATTATATCTCTGTCGGTCAGAGAGCCGTTTTAGACAAAAATTTAGACTAGAGTTCCAACATAGGCTCACATTTGAAACTAGTACACTGGGCAGGTAGCCCCCAAAGAGCCAGTTTCCGGCGTCCCCAAGCACGCTACCCAATCAGAAGATGGGAACTAAACTTGGGCAACCTACTTAGAGGCTGAGTCCTCCAAGAACTACAAGGACCAGAGTGCTCTGCGGAGCCCGGAAGGCGTTATCTGTGTGACGTCACGTCCGTCGCGCTGCCGAGGTAGACCCGCATCTTCTGAGCGAGCGTGACTTGGAGGTGGAGGGGGTGCGTTTGAGGTCGTGGGTTTGGGGTCGCAGGTGTGAAGGGTGCCTAGGTGCCTGGAGTCTGTCTCTAGTGAGCCAGTTTTATGTGGGAAGAAGCGAGAACTGTCCCTTCCCAGGCACCTGTCACTTGGAAAGTGCGGTTCCCGCCTGGATGTTACAGCTACCACCGCTTGAAGAGCTCTTGGCGAGCGCGGCGTGTGGCCCCTGGCGGCCATGCCGCATGACCCAGTTAGCCGCTCACACACTGGCCGCATTTCAGTGACTCCAGTCCTGCGGAGGCCCCCTCCTTTCAGGGTATTTGGGATGGGGACCAAAGGGAAGGTTTCCTTTCTTTCGAACACTGCCAAAGCCTTTCTTCCTGGGCAGCTTGACTTTTTAAAAAGAAGCGGTTTTTTCATCTTGTAACTGTTACAAGGTGCGATATTAAGGGTATAGAAATGCTTATTTTACTGAGCTGTTTCATATGAAGTTCAAGACCTGGGAATGGGTGTAGGTTTAGATTATAATGGACTCAGGATATTAAAACATATATTCATTTCAACTACAAGACTGCTGGCGATCTGACTTTAAAGCCACAGTTTCTGTCAGTTCATGTCAGACTTTTCTCTTAAATATCTAGTCTCATTAACCATTACCACGTACTATAATGAGCTGGTGCATTCCAGTGCAAAAGGGCTGATTGTAGAAATATCCTTCAGAAGCTATATGCATTGGAGCTCAGTAAAACTTTTTATTTTATAAATGTGATCTCATCTACTAAAATGTTTTTTATATGATTGAGTCCAAATGAAGTGAGGAAATTTCCAGTGAGCATTGCTAGAGCCAAGAATAGGAGGGTTTCTCACAAAGTACACCTGGTCTGATCTCTGCAATGGATTTTGTTGTTTTGTTTTGTTTTTTTGAGATGGGTCCTTGCTGTACATTTCAGGCTGGTTCTGTATGAATTTTTCATGGCTTTATGTGCATGTCAGAGACCTTTGTTCCACCAACAACAACTAGCTCAAGGCAAATTACCCAGGACAATCATCTATTTTTTTTGTAATACCAGTCACATTTGAGATTAATTGCTCAACATTATAGCAGCTACTTTGTGTGAGCTACATCCCAAGCTTTTTCTTTTTCTTTCTCTCTTTTTTTTTTTTTTTTTTTTTTTTTTAAGGCTGACCTGGGACTCACTATGTAGCCCAGGCTGGTTTTGAACTCACAGCAATCCTCCTGCCTCAGCCTCCTGAGTGCTGGGATTACAGGTGTGTGCCACCATACCTGGCTCCATGCCTTTTCTTATATTTTGAGACAGGGTCTTACTAAATTGCCCAGGCTGGCCTTGAATTATGATCCTCCTAAGTCTCCCACACTGTTGGGATTACAGACGTGTGCCACCACACCAGCAATTACTTTTTGTATTTTGTTTTTGTTTTTTTGTACCAGGGATCAAACTTGGGGGGACCTTGTGCTCGTGAGGCAGGTGGTAGCACTACTGAGCTAAATTCCTGACCGTAGCAATTACTTTTATAAATACTTATAACCCCAATAAATTAGGTTCCATTATCCTTACTTTAACAAATGAGAAAACTGAAACAATGATAAGTAAATCTTTCCAATATCACATAGTTTAATTTGTGACAAAACTAGAATTAGCATTCACAAAGGGCAGCTCCAAAACCCACACCCTTCACAACTGTGAGGATAAAATGACTGGTGAGAAATCTCTCAGAGATTTACTAGAGGGAGTTAAAGATTCACTCTGCTGTAGAAGAGAGATGAGAAAGATATGTCCTTGAAAAGAGGATGGAAAAGAACATCTGTCCAGAAAGATAAATTTTTTATGATGATCTGTCATGCTTTTATGTTGAGTTGTAGATTCAAATTCATTAGATATGTCCCAGACATCTGACATTAAAAACAAAAAGCTTGAAGAGATACGATATCCCCCAAAAGGTATTTTCTGGGGTTGGTGGGATTTGGAATTTATTTTATCTTTAATTATAGATAGAAAGGAGAACCGGGTATGGTAGTGCATGCCTGTAATCCCAGCACTCTGGGAGGCTGAGGCAGGAAGATTCCAATTTGAGCACATACTGGACAATTTAGTAACAGCAAGATCCTGTCAAAAAATTAAAAAGGAGCCGGGCGTAGTGGTACACGCCTGTAATCCCAGCACTCGGGAGGCTGAGACAGGAGGATCGCTGTGAGTTTGAGACCAGCCTGGACTACATAATGAGATCCAGGTCAGTCTCAACTACTTAGTGAGACCCTGTCTCAAAAAACCAAAACAAACAAAAACAACAAAAAGGGGTAGGGATATAGTTCAGTGTGAAGGCTCTGGATTCATTCCCCAGTAACACACACACACACACACACACACACACACACACATGAAAAGAGGGCAGGCTTGTAGGGAAAAAAGAATGACAATTCCAGATGGAAGACCCTCAGTCTGAACACGGTTGGACTGCATAGAAAGATTGTTGAAGAACTGTTGTAAGGCTGACCTTGTGCTGGTTCTCTTTCCTGTACTCCTGATGACTGTACCTTTTCATCAGGGCCTATTCCAGCTCTGACCATGTGGACCGCAGATGAGATTGCTCAACTGTGCTATGAGCACTATAGGATCAGGCTGCCCAAGCAAGGGAAGCCTGAGCCAAACCGAGAATGGACTTTATTGGCAGCTGTAGTGAAGATCCAATCTCCACCTGACCGGGGCTGTGACACATCTGATAAGCCAGTGCGAGGTGAGACCTTTTCTGTCCATGTCGTAATTACACAGGGCTATTCAGGGACAGAGGCGGGCCCGGGTGTAAACTGTTATGTGTTTTTGTTTTCCACATCTCCACCAGGTGGCGCATTACTTCCTGTGGTGGGAGACCACCCTGCTGGGGCTGCAGTCCTGGTTGAGTCAGGCTGTGGGAATCCTATGGAGAAGCCTGCAGACTTATTAAACCCGGGCAGTGGGGAACATTCAGACTCTGAATGCTCACTTAATGATTTGTTTTTTCCTCCCAGTGACAAAGGAAGTTGTCTCAATGGGAACAGGAACAAAATGCATAGGCCAGTCCAAAATGAGGAAGAGCGGTAAGCGTGGGTGGGAATCTAAGCAAAGATTTGCACGGGAGCCTTGGAAACCAGTGTCCTTGTCAGGGAAAAGAGGCCACAACAGTTGGATGTGACAGACCTTTCCTTTCCTACTGACTTACTCCTATGGGAAACCAGTGCTTGTCCATTTAAAGAATGGAAATCCACCGCTGAAGCAAAAGCCACATGCTGAGTGAACTAAAAGCCAGCTAGTTTTCTTTTGTAAATGGGGAAGGGAGGAGGGGGTGAAGGGAGGACAGGGTTGTGGGGAATAAATGGGAACCAAGACCTGTCATGTTAAAAGTACAAGATCCCAATGATGAATGTAACTATACTGTATACCTAAAATGTACCAGAAAACTCAATGAGAAAAAAAACCAGCTAGTTTTTCTGCTCATATCACAGGTTCCCTGTGTTTAGCTATTCCATGTTGTGTTTAAAAGGCTTTAGGGCTTTGGAGAAGGTAGAGGATGCAGTTCAAGTGGTTTCTGACACCCAGAGAGTTATCTTGAATTAATTGGAGCTTTTGGCACCAATAAGAATATGGAAGCACCTTAGAAGACTGGGATTCTTACCTCTTCCAGTTAGCAGATCCCTCTTTGAGTTTGCTTGCTATATTCACCTAGTCTTGCCTCCTCTGTATGATGGAGCTGTTCCAGGACCACTGGATTGAATTAGGTGGACATGTCTCACCATGAGCACAAGTATGTTGCCAGGGTATAAAGGGTCTCTAGATAGATTTTTCTATAAATCAGTGGTTCTCAGCTGGGGGATATTTGGCAATGTGTAGAAATATTTTTGATTATCACATCTAGGGGAAGGGTGCTCCTTACATCTCACAGATGATGATAGAAGTGATGCTGAACATCCTACATTGCACAGGCTAGACTCCCACAACAGAGAATTTTCTGGTGAAAATGTTTGCAGTACTAGGTTGAGAAACCCTGCAATTAATGCATTACTGTTAGTGATTTTGGTATTTTCTGTCAAAGCTCACTGAGAGTAGCTATTTCACCATACTGAGCATGAGGGTGCTGCTGTATGCTGTTACTAGAAATCAGGGCCTCTCCATGTTTCATATTTCTTCACTTAGTGTCATTTCTTTGCCACAGGAGATGTCCTCAATGATAGCCATGCCGAAGTCATAGCCAGAAGGAGTTTCCAAAGGTAAAACCACAACTCCAGAGAGTCTGATCCAGAAGGTCAAGGGCAAAATCACGATATTTGCATTTGTAGTAAGTGCTGAATAGAGATTGTATCAGTGTGAAGTACTGGGATCTAGACTAGTGGTACTCATTAAAACACAGATTTCTGGGCCTACCCAAGAAATTCAGCAGATCCAGGGTGGAACCTGCGAAATTACCCTTCTAACAAATTCCCGGGGGCTGCTAATGCTTTGGAGCAGATACCACACTTTGAGAGTCACTGAACTAATTATTCTAATTCCACATCACTACCAATCTCTTTGATCTACAGTTTTAGCATTCACCCTACCACAGTCTTTCTGTGTACTACAGAAATTGGTTGTTTATTCTGATAATGTCTTATGACTCATAGGTACCTTTTCCATCAGCTCCTATTGGCAGCCACTCTGAAAGAAGATAGTATCTTTGTCCCAGGAACTCAAAGAGGACAATGGAAACTCAGACCAGACCTCTTTTTTGTGTTTTTCTCCAGCCACACACCCTGTAAGTATAGTCAAGTCTTTGGGTTAATATTATATTGCCTACTTCTTTACGTTTGTTAGTTTGGCTGGTTTTTTGTTTTTGTTTCTTGTACCGGGGATTGAACTTGGGTCCTTGTGCTTGCGAAGCAGGCAGCAGAACCACTGAGCTAAATGCCCGGGAAGTTTGGTTGTGTTTTTGAGATAGGGTCTATGTAGTTCAGATCGGCTTTGAACTCACTATGCAACCCAGGCTGGCCTCAAACTCCTGGCAATCCTCCTGCATAAGCTTACCCAAGTGCTGGGGTTACAGGCCTATGCCATCACACTTAGCCTTTGTTTATTTTATCCATAGAGAAAAAAATTTTTAAAAAAGCATTTGTGTTGAAGTATAGCTAACTGGTGACAATGCCTTTTTACATCCCTAATCACCTCTCTACTATGGGGAAGACAAGCTAGAAGTAGGGTGGTATGGAGTCTCACTTATACCATTAGTTCTTGCAACCAGATTGGGAAGTTTAAGACTTAAGTCTAAAACAGCCAGGTGCGGTGGTGCACGCCTATAATCCCAGTACTAGGGAAACTGAGGCAGGAGGATCGCTGTGAGTTTGAGACCAGCCTGGGCTACATAGTGAGTTCCAGGTCAGTCTCAACTATATAGTGAGACCCTGTCTCAAAAAACAAAAGCAAAACAAAAAAAGACTTAAATCCCACAAGGTGTGAAGCTAAAAATGGGATCTATAATTCCAAAGTATTACTATAGTAACTTATCCTAAAATTGGATTTATTCATTCTTTGAAAAAATATTTTTTACTAGTCAGACACATACTGAACATATAGCAGTGACTAAGACTAAGTACATTGCTTACGCTGAAATAGTCTTTTAGAGAATGTAGAGAATCGTGGCTGTTACAGTATATTTTATGAGTTATTAAGGGACATTCAAAAGCTGTGTTCTCAAAGACCAGACCGAACTCAGAGGGAATCATTTCTGTCCTGTTTTTCTTCTTCAAAAACTGAAAGTAGGACTAGGGATTTAGCTCAGTGGTACCGTGGCCTGCCTCACAAGTGCAAGGGTCCCTAGTTTGATCCCTGGTACCAAAACACAAACAAACGGAAAGTAATTCCAGTATTTTTTAGGCAACAACTCAGAGTTAGCGGTAAAATTTCCTCACTCTAAAAACTTTCACATAAGGTTATGATTGTTTGCTAAGTATTAAGTGTTAAAAATTCATAAATAGCGAAGAAATAAATTAATACATATGTAGAGAAGAAATAAATAATCCTTATAAAGAAAGAGAATAGCTATCAAGATTTGATCATAACTCAGATTGAAAGTATTGTTTTAGGGAATATAATGTTGGAAAGGGAATTAGTTAAGAGTCAAAGGCCAGGCTAGGATGTAGCTCAGTGCTAGAGTACTTAGCATTTGTGAGGTCCTGATCACCACATCACCATCACCACAGAATAGGAGGGGGAAAGTCAAAGGCCAGAAAAATGGCCAACGGGTAGTCTGGGACCATCTGTGCCTGGGTATCCTGGTCCAAGAACCAAATGATGTTTCCTAGTCAGAACTTCCAAAGCTGTAATATTGCCGGGCATAGTGGCACATGCGTATAATCCCAGCACTCAGGAGGCTGATGCTGGAGGATTGCCACAAGTTCAAGACCATCTCAAAATAAAATAAAATGAAATCTGTAATATGTATACAGGACATCTACAGACCTTGTTAAAATGCAGATTCAGATTCATTAGGTTTGGAGTGGGGCCTGAGGTTCTGCATTTCTACCACATTCCAGGAAATGCCAGTGGTACTAGTCTGTGGACCTCTCTTTGGGTAGATAGGGCTTAGGTGTTCCCAAGGTCATAGCCTATCAAACTACATAAACACATGGCCTATGGAAATACGAGTCTGTGAGAGTCTACAGCAAAACAAAAATCACGACTATGTAGTGAGTTTTTAAAAACCAGTCTGCCAGGCATGGTGCACACATCTATAATCCTAGCACTGGAGAGGCTAAAGCAGGAAGATCCTGTGAGTTTGAGGCCAACTTGGGCTACATAGTGAGACCTGTCTCCAAAAAAGAAAAAAAAAGATTTTTTTTTTTTCAAGTTAAAGATTACATGAAAGCTAGAGAAAAAAACTTTTTCTTTTTAGGGAAAAAAATAGTTTGTTTTTGGTTTTCATTCTGGGGAGTGAACTCAGGTCTTTGTGCTTGCAAAGCAGGTAGCAGAACCACTGAACTAAATCTCCAGCCCTAGGGAAAAAATTTTTTTTAAATAAATCTTGATGATATTACATGGAAAAAAAAAAGCTAGGCATGGTGGTACACACCTGTAATCCCAGCATTCTATAAGGCTGAGGCAGGAAAATCATAAGTTCATGCCCAGCCTGGGCAATTTAGCAAAACCCTGTTTTAATATAAAAAGAGGCTAGGGATGTAGCTCACTATGAAGGCCCCGGATTCAGTCCCCAGTACTGAAAAAAACACTTTCTTTTCTTTTTTTAACAATGGTGATAATTGGGATTTTTAAAGATCTTACTTGATGCAATTAAGAAGTTGGAAGCCTTTTATTAATATTTAAAACTGGAAATTTTGTTGATCTTTGAAATAAAAATCGGGAACCATTGATCTAACTTCCTCAATCTCTTGAATAATCTTTTAAAATGTGATGTCCCTGATGGTTTCTCCACAGGAAGAAAGCACACTACCTGTACAATGTGACTCCCAGCTCCCTTGGCATTTACCTCTAGTTACTAATTAATCATCTGGTGCCTTGGTTAGCTACTCAGACTCTTTCTTGTGAGTTTTATTAGTATGAGTCAGCCTCCTAAGTTCAGGTACTCTGTCAGGATCAAATCTGAGCCTGCAGAGTGGGAGGTGAATACCAGAGAATTCTCCAAAGTCACTGTCACCTTGTGAGTCTCTAAATGCCAGCCAGCCTCCCTGGCAACACTCCCACTCCTACATCTTTTGCCTTTCCCATCCATAGGTTATAGAGTGCAGATGTATTATTTACACACTTTTAAAAAGTAGCACACATTAGGTTAGTGTTTGAGGAAATAGCTCCCTCCTCAAGGGAGAGCTGTGCTTTTCGTTGACCTCTGGTTTTCTTGGGTTCCCTGTGAACACACAGTAGATGAGAAATCTCTAAATCAGCTTGGAAGACACTGGAAGTTTTGAGGAATGGGTTCAGGCCAGGTTGTGTAACTCACTGTAGAATCTTTTTACTTTTTACTGTGGGAATATGCACCATAAAATCTCCAAGATGGGGACATTTTGAGCAGTATGTGCCAAATTTATGTAGCCATGAATTCACCACTTGCTTTGTTTTCTGGGTATTTAACAGGATAGCAGTCCACAAAATGTGCTGGGAAACCTCATTCTAGACTAGTGATTCACAACTCAGAACAGTTTTGCTTCCCAGGGGACATTTGGCAACATCAGGAGATACCTTTGGTTGTCAGGCTTAGGGGCTGGTGGTGTCCATTGGGGCATCAGTGCTGCTAAATACCCTCCAATGTACAGAACAGCCCCACAGCAAATATTATTCTTTTCCCAGATGTTATTCCTCAGTGTGGAGGTTGACAACCCCAGGGCTAAACCAGTGTTTCCAAAAATTCATTGTAATAAGGATTACCTGAGATCTTTGTTTAAATATGGTTTTCTAGCCAGCCATGGTGGCACACACATGCAACCCTAGCACTGAGGAGACTGAGGCAAGAAGATCACCATTTTTGAGGCTAGTCTGAGCTACATAGCAAGTTCCAGGCTAGCAAGACACTATCTCAAAAAAACTAGAGCCAGGGATTTAGCTGAGTGGCACTGTGCCTGCCTCACAAGCGCAAGGTCCTGAATTCAATCCCAGTACCAAAAAAGTAAAATAAACAAACAACCCCCCCAAAATCTGTATCTATATATAACTTATCTATACATTATTTTTCATACTTCTGTCTTCTACAAAATTTCAACTGAGTGTAAGAGCAAGTCTTCAGTAAGAGTCCCCAGAGATTCTCTTTCTCTCTCTTTCCCTTTCTTTCTTTCTTTTTTTATAGTACTGAGGATTGAGACCAGGGCCTTCCCATGAAGTTTTATTCTCTTTTTTTTTTTTTTTCTTTTCTTTTTGAAACAAGGTCTTACTATGTAATTCAGACTGGTCTTGAACTCACTACATAGCCTATACTGGCTCTCAACTCGAACTCATGGTAACCCTACTGCCTCAGCCTCCCAAGTATTGGGATTATAGGTGTGCACCACCATGCCCAGCTTTGATTGGGTCTTTTATTTGGGGGAGGGGGTCTGATATTTTTAAGTTTTTTATTCTAGGTATTAGTCCTCTAAGGATTAACTGGCAAAATTCTTTTCCCATTCGTAGATTTGTCTCTTCACTCTGTTTGCTTTTTCCATTGCTGTGTAGAAGCTCTTTAATTTGATATGATCCCATTTTTTTAATTCTTGATATTATTTCTTGTGCCATTGAGAAGGTCCTGTTTAGAAAGTTCTTGCTATGCCTGTCTTCGAGAGTTTTATCTATCTTCTATCAGATTGTTTCTGTTTTAACATCTAGATCTGTGATCCATGTTTGGGTTTTTTTGTTTTTTGTTTTTGTTTTTGTTCCGGGGATCGAACTCGAGTCCTTGTGCTTGTGAAGCAGGCAGCAGAACCACTGAGCTAAATCCCCGGCTGTGATCCATTTTGTTTTAGTTTAGTACATGGTAAGGTGTATGGATCTAGATTCAATCTGCTTCATGTAGACAACTAGTTTCCCCAACGCCATTTATTAAAGCAGCTGTCTTTCCTGCATGTGTTTTTGGCCCCTTAGCCTGAGGTTGCCTGCATCCTCTATTCCACTGATCCAAAGTCTGTTTCTGTGCCAGTACCATGCTGTCTTTATCACTGTAGCTTTGCAGTATAACTTCAAATCCAGGATAGTGGTGCCTCCTGTTTTACCCTTGTTGCCCAGGATTGCTTTTGCTATTCTTTGTCTCTTTTGGTTCCATATGGATTTTGGATTATTTTCTCTAATCCTGTGAGGAATGTTGATATTTTGACTGAAATTGAGTTAAATTTGTATATCAGTTTTGGAAGTTTGACCATTTTAACTGTATTGGATCTAAGACAGTGATTCTTAAACCTGAACTTACATCAGAGTTACCTGGAGAGTTTATTAAAATAGACTTCCAGGGCCCACCTCCAGAGTTCGTGAGCTCTACTGTGAGTACTAATAATTAATTTGCAGCATTTCTAACAAGTTCTTAGGGATGTTTAGGGATGTTTATATGGCTGGTCCAAGGGACTCATTTTGAGAACCACTGGTTCAAAGGCGTCCTTGTCCTGCAGGTGGGGATGCCTCTGTCATTCCAATGTTTGAGTCTGAAGAGCAGCCTTGCTATCCTGTCAGCAGAGATTGGGCTAAAACCTCATCTGTAGAAGCCAGTGGTAACCTGGAGGCTCCTGAAAATAAAAGAACTCGTGAAGACCCTGACAGTCCTATAATTAAAAAGATGAGGCTTGGAATTCCTGCCAGGTTGGTCACCAACAGTACAGCTCACTGTGACGAGCAAGGCAGTGACCCAGTCACACCAGATGTCAGCAGCCCTAACGTCCCTTTAGAGGAACTGGCTTCTGTCACCGGAATAGCCCCTTATAGTGTGAAAGTGGTGGACGTTTATAGAACTGGAGCCAAGTGTGTGCCCGGAGAAGCTGGAGACCCTAGGAAGCCAGGTGCTGCATATCACCAGGTAGGGCTGCTCCGAGTGAAGCCAGGCCGGGGAGACAGGACTTGTTCCATGTCCTGCAGTGACAAGGTGGCCCGATGGAATGTTCTCGGGTGCCAGGGCGCACTGTTGATGCATTTCCTAGAAGAACCCGTCTACCTGTCCGCTGTGGTCATCGGGAAGTGCCCGTACAGCCAGGAAGCCATGCACAGAGCACTGGTTGGGAGGTGAGTGGGCAGGGAGGGAGGCATCTGAGCGTGCTGTGAAGAAGTCTGCATGCTTGTGACCCAGCAGTTGCACCTATAGGGATTTGTCTTAAAGAAGTAATTGAGAAAGTAATCAACCATTTTAGTTTTGTGTATGGTAGTTTATTTTTTATGGAAGCCTGAAATATTTAGCAGTGGGAAGTTAAATGATTTCTTTTGTTTAAAATAATACTGATGAATATTTAATGCAGAAAGATGTTCATAATGCTTAAAGAGCTGTCTGGTAGATAAAGTGGACTCCATTTTGGTCTTAAAGGATATGTGTTTGTAAAAATTGGAAAGATGTACTCCATCCAAGGTATTAATAATGATGCTCTCTGAGTTGTGGTATTGTGGGTACTTTTTTTCTTATTACTGTATTTCTCATTTTTCTACAGTGTACTTATATTGCCATTACGATACATAGTGCCCTTTAATCTAGATTTTATTTATTTATTTATTGGTACCGGGGATTGAACTCAGGTCCTTGCACTTGCAAGGCAGGCCACTGAACCGCTGAGCTAATTCCCGGCCCTTTAATTTTTTTAAAATGATAAAAAGTCAAAGTCTGACCACACATAGTACTACTCAGGTGTGGTCTCCCCAGTGGTGGCCAAACCTGATCAGTGCTGTAGTAGGTGAGGAGGAGGAAGCCTGGGCTGTATCAGACATTCAACCTCTGAAGCCAGCTCCAAAAAGCAGACCCCTAGCCAGGTGTGGTGGCGCACGTCTGTAATCCCAGCACTCGGGAGGCTGAGGCAGGAGGATCACTGTGAGTTTGAGACCAGCCTGGGCTACATAGTGAGTTCCAGGTCAGTCTCAACTACATAGTGACACCCTGTCTCAAAAACAAAAACAAAATAAAAATGAAAACAGACCCCTTGTATTACCCACTCCTCGGTACACATGCAAGAGAAAGGAAAGCATACATCCACACAGACCTCTATACACCAGGGTTCATAGCAGTGAAATGAGCCACATCGTGTATGATGTCCTGTATGCGAGACATCCCAAAGAGGCTAATCCATGGACACAGATAGATGCGTGGTTACCAGGGGCTGGAGAAGAGGGTGGGGGTGACTGCTACTCGGCATGAAGGCTCTGAGACTTGAAGTTGCAATCTGTATAGTTTGTTACCAACATCACGTTGGCATCCAGTTGTGTAAAAGAGAAAAGAGAAAAAGTGAAGCTTTTATATTATGGGGTATTTTTAGTTTCTGATGTGTTTAAAGGATTTCCTAGAAAGTAGGTACCAAAACATTAATGTTTCTGCTTAAAGTTTTCAAGTTTCTAGCTGAGTATGGTGGTACATGCCTGCAGTTTCAGCACTTAGGATGCAAAAGCAGGGGAATTACAAATTGGAGGCCAGCCTTGTACATGGAAAATTTAAGACCAACCTGGACTACACAGTGAGACCCTATATAATGAGTTCAAGACCAGACTGGGCTACAAGCAAGACACTGTCTCAAAAAAACAAAAAATAAAACTGGGACAGGAGGAATTGAAAATTTGAGCCCAGCCTGAGAAATTTAACAACTCTGTCTCCAAATAAAAACATTTCTGTAATCCCATCACTGAGGAGGCTAGGCAGGAGAATCACAGGTTCAAGGCCTGCCTGGGCTACACAGTGAGTTCAATGACCCTGTCTCAATAAAAAGATATATAAAAGGCTAGGGATGCAGCTCAGTGTGAAGGCCCTGGATTAAATCACCAGTACCAAAAAATTTTTGCAAGTTTTTCAAACCCTGTATCAGAACTTATATTAGGGCTGAGAATGTGGCTCAGTGGTATCACTGATTAGTTGTCCCTTTAGAGTGATGGGAAGAAATCTTCAATAAGCCATAGGCTCTCCTGTCCTCTCCTAGTAACCAAACAAGTAGATTCATGTACCTCCTAAGGCTCTGCCTCCACCCCAGCTTAGGCACAATGATGTGGAACACAATCCTAGATACACTTTTTCTCTAGAAGTGTACCTAAACTGAATGCATTTTTCCTCATATTTAGGTGTCAGAATGTCTCAGCTCTACCCAAAGGCTTTGGAGTTCAAGAACTGAAAATGCAGCAGTCACATTTACTGTTTGAACAGAGCCGCTGTGCAGTGCAGACAAAAAGAGCTGACAGTCCAGGTCGACTTGTTCCTTGTGGGGCAGGTAAGGGATCCAGGTTGGACTCGCTGTGGAGTAACTTATTCCCTGGCAGGGTAGCCTGGCAGTGTCTGCATCCTTCCAGCCTTGAAGGAAGCTTACCACTCCCATGGTCAATTGAACAGGCTTTGGAGATACCCGCACTGGGTTAAGATTATCTTCTGTAAGCCAGGCGTGGTGGCGCATGCCTGTAATTCCACCACTCTGGAGGCTGAGGCAGGAGGATCACTGTGAGTTTGAGACCAGCCTGGGCTACACAGTGAGTTCCAAGTCAGTCTCAACTACATAGTGAGACCCTGTCTCAAAAAACCAAAAAAAAAAAAAGATTACCTTCTGTGTAATGCTGAGCATATCACCCTCGCCTGGCCTCATTTCTTTCTCTTCAGATTAGAAAAATGTCATTTATCATGGTTATTGTGAGACTTCAGTGTGAAATTCTATTTAAAGCATTTAATTGTGTCTAGCATATAATAAGTGTTCAATGAAATTATAAGCAATTGTAGTGATAATGACAATCATGAGCCACTTTATACTATTCTGTCCTGGAGGCCAAGCATAAAGTGGAGACCTCTCACATCATATCCAGCTCTCGTGGGCCTGTAGAGTAAAATAAATACTTTTTATAAAAATACTCTGGCATAAGCAGGAAATGGAAGTTTTAACTCCAGAATTTCTCTCTTCCTAGCAATCAGCTGGAGTGCAGTTCCTGAGCAGCCACTGGATGTTACTGCCAATGGTTTTCCACAGGGAACAACAAAGAAAGGAATCAGAAACCTGCAGGCGAGGTACAAATTACTGGGGCAGGTGGTGATGGTGATGGTGGCCATGAATTTATACCTTTATTGTCTAATTCCAGAACATTTTAATTGCCCCAGAAATTTTCTAGAAGCCATATGGACTAGTAACTACTATTTGCTCTTTCTTGCAGTGTAGGAGACTTCTTTATTTGTTTTTTTTTTTCCCCAGACTGGGTCTCATGATGTAGCCCAGGCTGGCCTCAAACTCCCAATCCTCCTGCCTCAGCCTTCTGATTTGTGGGATTATAGAATTTCAGCATGACCCCTGATCTTGTCTGTCTTTTTATTGTGGCCATTCTACTGAGTATAAAGTGGTATATTACTGTTGTTTTGAATTGAATTTCTCTAGTGACTAATGGTGTTGGGCATCTTTGTAGTGTACTTACTCACTTTATTTGTATTTCTTCTTTGGAGAAGTAACTATTCTCAGTTCTTGCTCATTTTTAATGTTGAGCTGTAAGTCTCTGTTATATACTCTAGATACTGGTCCTTTATCCTATATATGGTTTCCAAACAGCTTTTTGTTTTTGGATTTGGTTTTTGTTTTTATGGTTTTTTGTTTTTTTGTTTGTTTGTTTGTTACTAGGGATCAAACTCAGGTCCTTGTGCTTGCGAGGCAGGTGGCAGAACCACTGAGCTAAATCCCCAGCCCTGTTTTGGTTTTTTTGAAATAGGGTTTCACTATGCAGTTTAGACTGGCCTTGAACTCACTATGTAGCCCAGGCTGGCAGTGATTCTCCTGCCTCAGCCTCCTCAGTGCTGGGATTACAGGTATATGCCACTACACCTGGCTTCTAAAGAATTTTCTCTAGTTCTGGGTTTGCCTTTTTTTGATAGTGTTCTTAAAGCACAAAAATTCTAAATTTTGATGAAGTCAAAATTCTGTACTTTTTATTTGGTTGATTGTGGTTTTGGTGTCATGTTTTTGTTTGTTATTTGGTTGACTGGTTGGTTGTTTTTTGCTTTTTTGAGACAGAGTCTCACTATGTAGTTCATGTTGGCCTCAAACTCACAGTGATCCTCCTGCATCAGCCTCCTGAGTGCTGGGATTATAGGTGAGCACCACTATGCCTAGCTTTGGTGTTGTATATTTTTTTTTCTTTTTATTGAGTTTATTGGTACAATCTAGGTATGCAATACAATTACATTCATCATTGGGATTCTGTACCTTTACATAATAGGTCTTGATTCTCATTTTTTCCCCGTGTTCCTGCCCTTCCTTCACCCCCTCTTCCCCTCCCCTTTACAAACACTTTATTTCCATTTTTACAGTTTCTCATATTTTTTTCCTCTCCCTTATTACCTTTCCCCCACCCTTCCCACTTTCCCTACACTTTTAGCCCTTTGCTTCCTATTTCACATTATTAATTATCTCATTAGGATCCTGTGTACTATTATAGTTTTTCACACCAAAGAAACTACTCGGTATTTCAGTTAAAGAAATCTCTGTATGAACATTAAAAATAGGGAATCCTAAAATAAAACTAAAAAGGAAAGTAAAAGAGAAAAGGCAATGATGTAACATTAAAATAATCCTTAATTCTGGAGATGAAAATGGTCCCTGAACATATTTAAATTGCTTCTCACTCTTATAGTCTTATCT